ATTTTCAAATCCAGCTAGAAAGTCATCGCGTCAAATAGGGGGACCTTTGACAACCCGCCAGCTTCCTGTCCTCGTCGAGGCAACTAGTATTAGTGGCCTTTGGGTAAAATCAGGTAAATAATTAATATTAAATTAGAGTACATTTATTGAGTAGCAACAACATTAAGGCTTAGACAAGTTAATTTTCTGTTACGAAGGCGGAACCCCACCGTGGACGTAATATCCTGTCTGCAGCAGCTGAAGCACAAGTCGTGTTTCTTTTCCTGCCTGCTTCACCCATGTGTCATAGGTGAACCAAGAGCATATGACGGTCACAGCCTTCAAGCTGATGACGGAGACACAGGTCTCCCTCATCAGTTTAATGAGGGAGACCTCATCAAAAGACACAAGTCTTTACCTTGTGGTATTTGACAATATTGGTTAAATATTATTATTGTTTAATAGTTATGTATAATGATAAAATAAGGAAAACCCGACTCAACCGTTATTTCCCATACAGATTAATGTGGCAAAATGTACTGAGAGAAAACAGAGAGATGTAGGTAAAGTTTACATCATAAGCATCCGCGGGCTTCAAACTCAAGAATGTTTCAGAAGATTTGACCTATTTAATTGTGAAAAATGTGACTTGCGTATCAAAATAATGCAAGTGTAAGGTGAAAGTTAGAGAAAGACATAATAGGTTGAGGGAACTGAGCCCCAATAATCCAATATCTAAACCAAACAAAAACCATTAATGAAGAAATTGTGGAATTGTGGGGAAGACAAAACGATCGGAGTGGGGGAACGAGGGGACAGGTGAGTTGGGGATGTTGGGGGATGAGGGGACCGGGGAATGGAAAATGGTGGGGAGGACACGGGGACAGGGAAGTGGGGGATGGTGGGGAGGACAAGGGAACAGGGAAGAGGGGGATGGTGGGGAGGACGAGTGGGGAATAATAGGGAGGAAGTAGAGGATGGGGGGAGTGGGAGATGGTGGGGACGACGAGTGGACGGTAGAGTGGGGAATGGTTTGGAGCATGAGGAGTCGGTGGAGTAGGGGATGGTGAGGAAGAGAAAGGGACTGTGGAACGGGGGGGGAAATGGTGGGGAGGACGAGGGGATGGGGGAGTGAGGAATGGTTGGGAGGACGATAGGATGTAGGAGGGGTGAATGGTGGGGAGGATTGGTAGACAGGGGAATGTTATTCTTGCTGAGCAACGCACATGCATTGCTGAGCCACAGCAACACGTGGCCGGGTACAGCTAGTATATATATTAACAACAACAGAGGTCCTAGGACAGAGCCTTGAGGCACTCCACTTACAACATTTTCCCACTCTGACTTATCCCCATTTATACTAACTCTGTTTTCTTTGGTATAGCCATGCCCTAATCCAACTTTAATATAGCACCCCCATACCATGACCCACTATCTTTTTAATCAGTCTTTCATGTGGCACTGTATGAAAAGCTTTGCTAAAGTAAAGATACTCAACATAACAATCCTTACCATTATCAACTGCCTCAATTATCCTGGAATTAAAAGATAGCAAATTTGTTAAACATGAATTGCCATTTATAAAACCACGTTGAGAATTATTTATTAATTTAAGTTTTTCAAGATGAAGACGAATTTTATTTCCAATTATCGATTAAAGTAACTTTCCCACATTAGATGTTAGGCGAATTGGCCAATAGTTTGACGCAAGTGATCTATCTCCTTTCTTAAATTTTTTTATCACATTAGCAATCTTTCACGTCTCTGGCACTCTGCCTGACTCTAATGATTAAAAATACTACTCATCTCTTCCTCGTTATCCGTTATCTATCTAACCTGTATCAGTTTTTAATGGACTTATCCTTTGCTTAATCTTTGTTCGATTTAAATGAAAAAAACTTTAGGATTTGTCTTTGCTTGCCCTGATACGCGAACTTCATAGTATCTTTTTGCCCTCCTTATCTCTTTTTTAACATTTCTAACCAATTGTACGAAATGACTTGCAACACAAGTCATTTCAGAACTAAGTCAGTTTTTGTACCATGAACGGTTCATGGCCACAGGGCTAACAACGCTGCAAACCAGGCATAACCAGGCGGATCTCAATGACAATTTTAAAATGCTGAACAAACTGGAGGAGGAGGATACAGACAGTTTCTTGACAAGGTCATATGTAACACAAACAATGATCAACGTGTGGGAAATTTTTACCCACCATATCTAATAATCATCTAAGAAATGTATAATTTCTATATCATATCAAAATCATATCTAAATCGTATCAAAATCATATTAGAATCATTATAGATTCATTATATAGCTTGATCCTAGATGACAATGTCACTATGATCACGTACGCTACAGGGCCCTATTGATGCCTACGTGACTTTGTGCATGATCTCTCAAGGATCCAGAAGCTTCTAGAAGGATTTGTTAATTAAAAAACTATTGGAACATTTATTCAATATCCGGTAGGGATAAAATCGAATCCTTAATAAGAATCAGTGGTACTATCAAGTACTACTAATAATCTTTATATCCTATATCTAATTATATTATAATCACATCTTATCTCAATCATAAGTCTAGACTGTAAAAATAATCAATCAATATTCATAGAAGGCTACCATGCTCAGGGAGCATGGCAGGGCAATGGCTGGGAGTGAAGCGCCCACCAACACACCCCGCGGCACTTCGCGTTTGTTTACAACTCGGTGAACAAGTGACGGATCCTTAGCGAACATTACCAGCTCAAGGACACCTTATCTAATATCTTTATCACCAGTGAACACTCTCTAGAACTGGGGGAGTACCTGGACAATATCTACAAGGAAAATCCTAGAACATTTATATAAAATAAGAGTGTATAGTGGAGATCACAGTGACACGGTTTCCACCACCTTCATTCCTAATCTTTATCAACTATCATTCTTCTGCAACTGCAGGGACAATCACGTAGCAACGCTACCAGATCATCATACAGCAACGCTGTGACAAAATAACGTGCCTAAACTCAACAAGAGAGAGTTAATCAGTCTGGCACCTTGTCAGACAGGCACCCCGACTGGCAGAGAAGTATATTGAAGGTTATTTTGGTATATGATTGGCCAATTGTATGCTTGTGTGACTTTAATATCCTATAAATCTGTCTGTTGGTTAAAAAGTGAGGCAAAGCCTCACATTTCAGTAAGTTTATTAAAATTGTAGTGTAGCTGTGAATCTTATCCAGCACTAGACTCATGAGTGTCCATTGTGTCAGAAAAGAATTCAGCCGCAATAAGTAAATAACCTCATAAGTGTCCATTGTGTTTGGAAGAGATTCAGTCAAGCTGACTGTACCTAATCATAAATTGAATATAAATAAATTGCTTATATACTTGAATATATAAATTAAGTTATCAATTGTTTGCTTAGTTATTTTTAAGGTATCATATAAGTTCATTTAATTGAATGATTTCTAGTACTTAGTTAACAGTATTTAGACTACATTTAAAGTCATTTATTATACTTTACAATTTAATTTGTTGTTTATAGTATAAGTACATATTGGCTGTTAATAGTTATGGTACTAGGTTAGAATATGTATGTTTAAATCCCTGATTTAAACAGAGCCAGTGTTCAGTCATATAACTGAATTTATTAAATCTTATCCTTGTATAAAATACAAGCTGATGTGAGATCCCTGTCTACAGGTGGACTGGAACTTCTATCAACTAATTCATTCACCCCACCTGTCCCTTACAGCCCACAATCTGTCTTTAGGAAAAGAGGAGCTAGGATTTACAACCCTAGCTAGAGATTTTAATTGAATTAATTTGCAGACAGTAAATTTTTAATTTAGTTCAGTACAAGTACCTGGTAGTCTCCTCTTATATCAATCCCAGCAGGTTTTTCCCACACAACGGTTCATTCTCAATAAGCCACAATACAGGACTCAAAACAGATGGTTTTCAACCACAGTGTTATAAACCCTAGGAACCGCCTACCCGCCCAAGCTGTAAATGCCGAAACTTTGTTTAAATTTTCAAATCCAGCTAGAAAGCCATCGCGTCAAATAGGGGGGACCTTTGACAACCCGCCAGCTTCCTGTCCTCGTCGAGGCAACTAGTATTACTGGTCTTTGGGTAAAATCAGGTAAATAATGAATATTAAATTAGAGTACATTTATTGAGTAGCAACAACATTAAGGCTTAGACAAGTTAATTTTCTGTTACGAAGGCGGAACCCCACCGTGGACGTAATATCCTGTCTGCAGCAGCTTAAGCTCAAGTCGTCTCTCCTTTCCTGCCTGCTTCACCCATGTGTCATAGGTGAACCAAGAGCATATGACGGTCACAGCCTTCAAGCTGATGACGGAGACACAGGTCTCCCTCATCAGTTTGATGAGGGAGACCTCATCAAAAGACACAAGTCTTTACCTTGTGGTATTTGACAATATTGGTAAAATATTATTATTGTTTAATAGTTATGTATAATGAAAAAATAAGGAAAACCCGACTCAACCGTTATTTCCCATACAAATTAATGTGGCAAAATGTACTAAGAGAAAACAGATAGATGTAGGTAAAGTTTACATCATAAGCATCCGCGGACTTCAAACTCAAGAATGTTTCAAAAGATTTGACCTATATAATTGTGAAAAAATGTGACTATTGCATATCAAAATAATGCAAGGGTAAGGTGAAAGTTAGAGAAAGATATAATAGCTTGAGGAACTGAGCCCCAATAATCCAATATCTAAACTAAACAAAAACCATTAATGAATAAATTATAAGTTTGATAATTCTATTCATGGACACAAAATGTACAGTTTCAGCTAGATATGACTCGTCAGTTTGAGCCCTCACATGTGTTTGACACACACACCCGTGCAGGTGTGCGTGTCAAACACGTGTCTATAAAGTCTTGTGTATAATTTGGATTTAAGAAATAACACAGAAGTAAAATTAAAAAAAAAATAATAAAATAATATGTTTATTTGTCTTGTGTTTCAAATAATATATTTTCTTGGTACCTGTCTGTTAATATTTCCAGGCGTCAGTAGTTGTAGGGACTCCCTTGACGTCGGTGTTGTGGGGACTCCCTTGACGTCGGTATTGTAGGGACACCCTTGATGTCGGTGTTGTGGGGACTCCCTTGACGTCGGTGTTGTAGGGACTCCCTTGACGTCGGTATTGTAGGGACACCCTTGATGTCGGTGTTGTGGTGACTCCCTTGACGTCGGTGTTGTAGGGACTCCCTTGACGTCGGTATTGTAGGGACACCCTTGATGTCGGTGTTGTGGGGACTCCCTTGACGTCGGTGTTGTAGGGACTCCCTTGACGTCGGTATTGTAGGGACACCCTTGATGTCGGTGTTGTAGTGACTCCCTTGACGTCGGTGTTGTAGGGACTCCCTTGACGTCGGTATTGTAGGGACACCCTTGATGTCGGTGTTGTAGTGACTCCCTTGACGTCGGTGTTGTAGGGACTCCCTTGACGTCGGTATTGTAGGGACACCCTTGATGTCGGTGTTGTAGTGACTCCCTTGACGTCGGTGTTGTAGGGATACCCTTGACGTCGGTGTTGTGGGGACTCCCTTGACGTCGGTGTTGTAGGGACTCCCTTGACGTCGGTGTTGTAGGGACTCCCTTGACGTCGGTGTTGTAGGGACACCCTTGACGTCGGTGTTGTGGGGACTCCCTTGACGTCGGTGTTGTGGGGACTCCCTTGACGTCGGTGTTGTAGTGACTCCCTTGACGTCGGTGTTGTAGGGACTCCCTTGACGTCGGTGTTGTAGGGATACCCTTGACGTCGGTGTTGTAGGGACACCCTTGACGTCGGTGTTGTAGGGACTCCCTTGACGTCGGTGTTGTAGGGACACCCTTGACGTCGGTGTTGTGGGGACTCCCTTGACGTCGGTGTTGTAGGGACTCCCTTGACGTCGGTGTTGTAGGGACTCCCTTGACATCGGTGTTGTAGGGACTCCCTTGACGTCGGTGTTATGGGGACTCCCTCGGCGTCGGTGTTGTAGGAACTCCCTCGGCGTCGGTGTAGTAGGGACTCCCTCGGCGACGGTGTTGTAGGGACTCCCTCAGCGTTGGTGTTGTAGGGACTCCCTCGACGTCTGTGTTGTAGGGACTCCCTCAGCGTTGGTGTTGTAGGGCCTCCCTCGGCGTCGGTGTTGTAGGGACTCCCTCGGCGTCGGTGTTGTAGGGACTCCCTCGGCGTCGGTATTGTAGGGACTCTCTCGGCGTCGGTGTTGTAGGGACTCCCTCGGCGTCGGTGTTGTAGGGACTCCCTCGGCGTCGGTGTTGTAGGGACTCCCTCGGCGTCGGTGTTGTAGGGACTCCCTCGGCGACGGTATTGTAGGGACTCCCTCGGCGATGGTGTTGAAAGGACTCCCTCGGCGTCGGTGTTGTAATGATTCCTTTCGGTTCTCATAAAGATTGTATAGTTAGTTAATTTACTTAAACGGTTGATTCGGTTCGTTGAATAGTCTTCAATCCCTTTACTCTGTGTTATGTTGTTATGCCTTCATAACATTCCGAACAGATCGTCAAAATCTGTTGTCAAACACAGCGAATTTCGACCACAAAGACGACGAGACTTACAGCGTAGCCAACAGTCAGCACCACAAACATTCCCTGTATAAAAAATAAAGTTACAAATGAACACAAACAAAAGTTTCAGCATTTCCTTTAATTTTTGTTCACTTGTGTTGGAGTAACAATATATTTAATATACCCACTAGCCAAAGTATAATGTAGATATTACTCACACTAGTAACAGCAAAATTGATATTAAGGACACTAACTACAATATAATAAAGATATTACTCACACTAGCAGGAGTTCAAAATTTCTTATTCATCAGAATATTAATAATAACAATTTCGTTCACCTGGACTCTTAGACTTGAACCGCAGACCACACGTGTAAGAGGCCGAAGCTCTATCTATCGAGCTATTGAGTAGTCCAATAGGGAAAGATTCCAAAAGCAGCTACTGCTGCCAAACTGGCATTTTCGACTTCAGAAATTTACAGTTTGTCAGCAATAGTTGCTTCTGGAATCTTTCCTTATTAGATTACTCAATAACTCGGTCGATAGAGCTTCGGCCTCACACGTGTGGGGTCCGCTGTTCGAGTGTCATAGAGACCAGGTGAATGAAATATTTATTTCCATGGAAGTGTGGATGACAGTTTAATAATAACAATAATAATGGTAAAATAATAATACAGTAATTGTAATAATATTAAGAATCATAATAACAATCGTAATAATGTTATTCTCATAATAGAAATATATAAAGCATGTATAAGCAGTTTCATAGTGGAAAACTTCCTCCCTGCTCGGCGCTACAGACCCCAGAACACGACACCACAGACCAGAGAGGAGAATGTCAGAGGGTTTCGACACTGGCGATACTGAGGTGCGACAACTTCAGCTGCAAATTGCAGGCTATATGCTCTGCTGCGAAGCGAATTTGCACCACCTCAGCCTTGCTCCAATTATACTAATACTACTAGGGTGCATCACAGCACATCTCCTGTACCAGGTAAGTACGACGGGCTCACCATAGCCCGTGCTGCTCGGAACTTATTGTTCGATTAGCACGGGGAAATTTGACCAGTCCCTTGGGACTACAATCACTGAACCTACTGACAGCTAGTCTTAATAATAATAATTTCCCTGATGCTAGGCTAACACTTATGATGCTTGACTACTGAGTGAACCCTGAAGGCAAAGAGAACCATATAGTGTTGTTTATCACTATTTATTTAAAAAATTCAATTGTTCCATTACTATTTTATTAACACATTTAGGTACATCTGCATTTGTGCAGCTACCCAAGACTACATGAGGAGAAGTACAGCGTATCAAAAAACTAGCTACGTGATGCTAAAAATCCCCATCACGCAAGATGATTAGTCATACAAAAGCATGTGGTAAGTAGTCTGTGCTGGCAAATTCTAGGTGCATTATGAGGATCTCATGAACGCGAGTGAATAAGGTAACAGTGATACTGAAAGTCTCCATCTCGCAGGATGGTTTGACATACAGGGCCAAATGTTCAGTAACCTGCACTCGGAAATTTTGAGTGCAATATGAGGAGATCCTCAAGAACACGAGAGTGAATAAAGTAATTGCAAAGCTTCAGTTAACTCATGCCAACGGGTCTGAATGGTCTGATAACTGAGCATTCGGTGATGTAGTGTGGGAGATCATGTCCCAGTCCCTGCTCATAGAGTTTGAACTTGGAGTGCTCAGGATTGGGAGACCTGTCACTTGTAGCCACCTGCCACAGGTAACGGTAACCCAACCTGATCCTGGCAACCACTGTGTCGCACAGTCTGGTAGACGTTTTGTGCTGCCCATAAACATAGGTTTCAGATCTGAACAAATCATAGTTTTTTTTTATACTGATGCTTTCAGGTCGTTGGGAGTCAGTAACGTTTTCCTATAGTTCCCTTACCTTCAGGGTTTCCCTCACACACACTATACTACTGCAGTGTGTAGCTCCCGGGGTCTGCTAACTAGCTGTAACACCCACTGGAACGCTATCAGAGATTCATTCACTCTGATACTTAGTCTGGACTGAGACTAAGTCCAGTCGTGGTGCTACTGAGACTTCACTGGATTGACAGTCACGACTCCAACCGACGACTTCACATGATTTGTTTGTTGCAAGCTTGAAGACAAGATGTCCTTCCTCGGTCTTAGAAAACGTGATATAACCTCGACACACATTCGGAAAATTCATCCCTACTCCACAGAAGACTCGGACCACACATATCAGGTCTCTCTCACGTCGTCAAAACTGCCAATACCCACAGCTTTCGCACTAAAGCTCCAACGAATAGGGTCCTTCTGGATCAGCTCATGGACATAACACACTTTTTCTATAGGGTCAATCCAAATTGTTACTTCATCATTTCCGTCATATACACACTGCAGGTGAAGCAGACGCTGACCCTGCTAAGTCTTGCGTGTCAGTGGAGTTCTTGGGCCACTCTGCTTCTCCTTGCAAAACGTTTTAACCCTTGCCTTGCGCTGACAGGTTCACACACATGTGGCGTCTTCAATTGTAACTAACAACGTTCTGTCCCTCGACTCTGGAACGTTCCAGAGTCGTCTGCCATAGGAGGGCAGTCGTGTCTGTGCCTCCTGGTACCTCTCAGTTCACCAACACAAATAAATCCTCTCAATAACCACAAAATCTTATTCACACTGACCCTATTACTTTTGTCTTGGTTTATCTCTGATAAAAACACGCATATGAGCGATAATAAAGGTTAAGAGCGAGAACCACTCATAATGCTACATTAGGATAGAATAATGACTATGTGTTGACGCAATTAATACCCTTTTTTAAAAGTTAGTCTTGTTGTTGAAAGACAGTCTAAACAAATATAGAATCACTTGTTTCAGAAACGGTAAACAAATCTAGTACTTAATATATTCAGTAAGAGCAAAACACGTAATGAGTAAATTGTGAAAGAACTTGAAAGAATTAGATTACATACTGTTGATTAGGTGTTAATTAGTGTCTTTTTAAATTGTGTGAGTGAGAGAGCTTTCAGTCTCCTTAGGGAGGTAAATCCGCAGTTCAAGACGTTTTATTTGCGTAAGTTTAGTTTATTTGATGAGTTGCACTTCAAGAATATGATGCATTTGTTCCTAGTGTAGTGCCAAAGGATTCTATGACATTCCTCGAGGAAACGATTTCATGATTAGTTATGCATCTCGGAGTTGTGTATATGCAAATTACACTAGCGAATATTTGTAGCGATTTGATATTAAACATATTCGAAGATTTAAGTAAGGCTGCTGAATACTGTCTGGGTATGGAGTTTGTTATTGTTCTAATTTCAGACTTTTGTTTAGTAATCATATGTTGCAAGACACTTTGAGATGTGGATATAAAGGCTCAGATATCATTGGTTAGATATGAACAGTAAATAATAAATTTTATCAAAGTAGAGCAAGGGGCGTAATATTATATTAATGAGAGAATGCCTAGAGCTGTAGAAAATTTTTGCTATATATTGTAAATGTCACTTAAAATTCCATTTGTTGCGAATATGAACATCAATAAATAATTCACTCAATTTGCATACTCTTAATTCTTAGTTCAATTTGATTGGCCGATTTACTTCCCAACAATATCCAATATATTTTTCATAACTGAGGGCGAGTCGTTTACAAGTGAACTGTCATGTTAACCGAGTTGAAAAGCTACTAAGGTTTACATATGAATTTATTGCGTATTAATTTTTGTCAAGAGATGCGTTTATCAAGTCATGTATATAAATTAAAGTATCTTTTTTTTGTGGGGGGGGGGGTCACTGAAACCATATTGGGCAATGACAGGTATATTAGGTTTACCTAGTTGGGAGTACAACTGTTTGTATATTTGCTTCTCAAATATTAAGGATAAAGATTCAAGTATTAATAATAGTCTATAATTGTTGACATTTTTTAGATCTGTCTCTCAGACTGGGAATACTGTAATCTTTTTGAGGATGATTCTGAGCTCGGGTTGTTTACTGTAATGTTGTGGGAGGAGATACTACACTTATTTTTTTTATAAATTAGAGCTAGGATGTCAGATGTTACTTGTATTAATTTCAAATGATAGGATTAAATCATTAACATCTATGGAGTTTGTTGTGGTTATATAATTATTCGGGGTTGCTGCCTGAGAGGTAGTCATTTACATTGATATGGGATGCTGGGATTGAATTTGCATGGGATGCTCCATTTAATAAGAAACTAATGAACGTAATAGGTTTCAGTGATTGATGGCATGATTCCGCTGGGAAAACCACATTACACAACTCAAGAATTCCAGAAACGATTAGATGGCCTCACTCAAACAGGTGTTCCACAATTAGTGATCTTACTGGGTCTTGTTCACGCAGTTCTTAAGCAGGGAGAACATTGGGATCCTAATCCAATGTTCATAGATTACATATGATTGCCATTAACGTCTCAATATCTTTTATAAGCCAGGATTCAGTGATGCGTTTAAAACTGCTAACAGTTTAATTCAGTAAACCCAACACAAGTATATTGAAAGTTTCTTTAGTCTTCTTTTTGAGATCATACAAATCTAACCAGAACAGAGGGTCAACAGACCAGCCTTGTTTAACACTGTCATGACCTCACAATTACTCAAAATTGCTGCCGGTCATGTGGAGACGCTGTGTGTTAACAGTTGTCAAGTGAAATCAGTTAATATATAGTGACGCCAATCGGACATCTTCATATAGGAATAACGATATATAACTACGTAGTGTGCTGATCTCTCTCCGACACTGAACATTAGTGTACGACACTGTGCCAGGTGTGACACGAGCCTCGACACTGTGCCAGGTGTGACACGAGCCTCGACACTGTGCAAGGTGTGACACGAGCCTCGACACTGTGCAAGGTGTGAC